TTGCTACATCCCACCTTGACGGGCTCGTCTCCTCCCCGAGACCCCCTGCAAGGGAATCTCCAGTGGCCTACAAATGGGCTTTGGGTCTCCACTTTGCATTCCCTCCCTCATTCACTATGGTAAGATTTTTTTTTGTTCGGATGATGCCTTATACCTGATCCCTTTGACACATCGTGATCGCACAGGCTGGTGTGCTTCTTTAATGTAGGCTTTGTTGCTTCTGGGCTAGATCAGAGCCTTCCTCTTTCACCTGCTTCCCACCCACCTGCCTTGAGATGTGAACAAGTACCAGACTCTAGGTCCTTTGGTAGTTCTGCTCAGCAGCAAGTCTGACAGGCGGCTGGACGCTTTTTCTAGCTGCTAACTAAGCTCTCTTAGGCCCTGGTCAAGATCGTCTTTGTCTTTGAAACAAGCAACCCTGACTGTCTGCCTGCTTGGAGTAGTGCACACCGCCTGACCTCTGGATCTGGCACCCTGTGTTTCCTTTTGTACAGCTCCATGAGGCTCCTGAAAGTCTCTGAGGATTTCCTTCTCCTAGCTGAGAAGAGGGCCAACCGTTCCTGCTCCACCAGGGACAGCAAGGTGAGGGACGATGGCACTGACTTGCACTTTGATGAGGGAGCTTGTAAATGAGCTATTCCGGGGGCGAGGCGTAGATGGATTCGGGCCACGGGCTAGGAATGACTGAGACCAAGCCCCACCCGGAAAAATGGCGTGCAGAACCACCTTCCTGACAATTCAGCCTGCAAACCTAACCACCCGGCAAAAAAGAAATTTGGCTCTTTAAGTGCCAATAGTATTAAAGTGCTAGCGACTGAAGAAGTCATAAAGGGAAATTAACTGAAAACCAGACTTGCCATTACTCATTCGGGAGCAATCTATCTTTCCCAAAGTGAAAATACAATTTGTACCCTCTGGGGATGTTTTATACTCAAATCTTTATTCCCCAGGTTCAGGGCCTCTATTCTTTTCACATTCTAAGTGGTGCTCTTATTTCCTGTTAATGGGTCCTACCCAGCCTTTTGAAGAAGGCACTTGGGAGGACCGAAGCAGCTGAGGTTACAGGAAAGCCCTTGTAGTCTCCAGGGTCTCAGTTCTTCCCATTCGCAGGCAACCTCCGGGGATTGGCAGGCTTTAAAAGTGCAGGGTCCAGATTCCAGCCTTTTCTCCCAGAGAAGATGCTGGCAAGGTGGAAGGGTCTGGGCTAATTCTAAGGCATATTAACATGTTCCCAAGGGTTGAGAGAGCATCTATTAGTAGGTGAGGAGAGTGGCTGATACGCCGGTTTGGCCGCATCTCTCCTGGTTAGTGCCATGACTATATGTATTTGCTCAAGCCAGGAATCTGAGAGTAGCACTCTTTCCTCCTTGGCGATCCCACTCAAAACCACACAACCAAATGCACTGGCACGGAGTCAATTCTGACTCTTAATAGCCTGATGTGTCAGTTACATAATCTCCTGTCAACTTGCAAAGGGGTGGAGTCTAGCCTGTCAATCAGCTCATAGCCAATGAGGCCTCTATGTGGGTGGGCATGGCCTTCTCCTGAGGATTGTGTTAAGTCCTGTCTTCCTCTCTGGAGATGGGTTACTCTCTCCCTGCTAGACATTCCTGTTGACAAGCCACACGGAGCTGTGCTGATAGTGCCAGAGCTCTGGAGCTGGAGGAGCCACATGGAGACCCACACCAGCGCTACGATACTTCCACTGCCACTGGACCCACAAGACTTTCTAGTCATTGGTCTGTGATCTTCCAGCATTCAGCGTCATTGCATGTATTGCGTGAGTCTGAAGAGGAATTTACAGACTGGTATCTGACATATGGGCTAATATTGGACCTATGGACTGGATCTGCATTGGGCTGGGATGTTTTAATAAATTACTCTTATATAAAGCTCTTTCTTTTTTCAAATGTGCCGGTTTTAATGGAAGTTGTGTACAAGACATTTTACTCTTGCATCTTCACAAGTGATTCTTCCTTGTATTTGCCCTTTTCCTTTCCTTCTTGGCGAGATTTGGCTTTCCATTCCAGGATCTGTTTGCAGTCTTTGTCCAGTTTTAATCTCGTAATAACCACCTTGCTGGGGTGAATGCCCACATGGACAGAGGTACCATTAGCTTGATCTTGCTGCTCCCGCTCAATGTTGATGATGTATTGCTTCCTGTAAACCTGGACCACTTTGTCAATCTGCTGACCTTTGTAGTGTCCACGCACAACTTGAACTTCATCATCCTTGTGGATGGGCATGAACCAAACATTGTATTTGTCTCAGTTCCTTGGAAAGAGGGGAAGACAATCTTCCTGGGAATGTGGAAAGGTGCATTGAAATGCCTTTTCCATATTTGCTCCGGTCCGAAGTCACAAAGGTATTGAACTTCATTTTGGCTCTTCCAGTTCTGTAAGTTTACCAAAAGCTCTTTCTTATACACGAGTGTCTGTGAATTTGTTTCTCTAGTCAACCCAGATCAACAGTTTGTAGGTCAAGGTAGAACTGCCCATGAGTTTCTGCGATGGTGAATTTTTTTAACAGATTGATTCTTTTATTTATTTTATTGGGGGCTCGTGGTATTGAGTCTTTACGGGAGTAGAAAGCCCTGTTTTTCTCCTGAAGAGTGGCTGCTGGTTTCAAACTGCCTACCCTGTGGTTAGCAGCCCAACATGTAACCACTGCCCCACTGGGGCTCCTAGCGACCCCTCTGCTCACTGTAGATTAATGGTTCTCAATGCCCTGCAGTGAAGAAACCATTGTCAAGTCTTACTCACAGCTTTCCCGAACTGATTCGGGCACAGGGTTTGTGATAGTGTTCTATGGACTATGTTAGGAAGCCTCAAGCCACAGGATGAAGCACATGAAGTACAAATTCTCTGGCACTTGGCCCGATTCATTCTGTAACCATATTGCCTGTGGCCCCATAACGCTAGCCACGTGGAAGCTCTCTGGCTCAGGACCCACCCTTTTCAAGCTTGTGCCTGCTGTCTGGGCGTGCCCGTGTCTTTGTCTGCCTGGCACAGCCTACCCCTTCTTCACGTCTTCACCTAGGCACAATCACATAGTCTATGAAACTTCTTTTACTCTCACAGGCACAATAAATTGCTGCCTCCTTTTTCCAGAACACTTTATTTAAACTTCATTCGCTGCATTAAAAGTAATTGGTGTGACAGCTTTACTACCCTGCTGGTTCTTTCATTAACGAGCTAAGTAAATCTTTGATATGTGCTCACTTAAAGGGAAAAAAGTAATGAATGTGAGATGGTCTTTTCTGCTGGTCTAACATTCCCCACCACGTAATAGGGAGTGAGTGGTGTGTCTACCAAACCAAGGACAGTGCCCGCCCCCTCTTTCAACTGCAGAAAAACGGGGCTGTGGTCTAAGTCTACAGCCAATACGCTCACAATGGGCAGGAGTCGTGAAGACCTGTCTTGAGATCTGGGATTCGAAACAGACAGCCACCATTCTCCAGTGCCAGACGGGATTCATTAGTGGCTGTGTGCTGGGCACAGTCACCCAGGATCCTTGCAAGGAGATGGTAGCCTGTCCTAGGGGAAAGAGAAAATAAAATGGAGTTACTAAAAAACTCTCAGGCCGTGTGCTGGTCTGGATTCCACCTCAAGGTTTCCGTATTCCGCTTGAAGTGGGGTTGAGACAGCATCACAGGTAGTGTGGCTTCTATCATTGGAGACTGGCCCCATCTGCCCACTGCAGGAAGCTCGAGTGCAGGGAGCTGGCGAGAGGCAGAGAAGCCAGAGGCGCTGCGTCCTCCAGGGCGGCGCAAGGCCACAGGAACAAGGCTCTTTAGATGTTATTCCCCACCGTTTGGCTGCTCTCCTCTAACAGAGGGAAAAGTGTTTGCCACCGATAGATTTTTTTCTCCTTTTTTTATGTTTTTGTTATTTACACAGGAGTGAGTCAACCTCCATACCCAGAAAATGGGGAAAGAACATCCCAGTAAACAGCTTCTCGGAAGTTGAAAGTGGTCATGTCATGACCTGGTCTGATTTACAGTGATCAAGCCTCAAAGAAAAGACAAGGTAGGGACAAGCCAGCCAGAGTGCAGCACAGCACCGATGAAATACAACATTCCTCTAGTTATTTAGTGCCCCCCCCCCAATAATGAGAGCAGTGATACCGTGAGGGCAGGGGGAAGGAGGGGCAGAAAGGGAGAACTGATTGCCATGATCAAGGTACAAACACCTCCCCCAGCCCCTCAGGGGGATGAACAACAGAAACGTGGGTGAAGAGAGACAGCGGACAGTGTAAAATATGAAAATAAAATGATTTATAAATTACCAAGGTTTCATGAGGGTGGGGGAAGGGTAAAAAGAGGAGATGATACCAAGGGCTCAAGTAGAAAGAAAATGTTTTGGAAACGATGATGGCAACATATACACAAATGTGCTGGATACAACTGATGTATGGATTGTTATTAGAGCTGTAAGAGCTCCTAATAATATAATAATAATAAAAAAGACAGCAATAAATTCAGTCCACATGGTACTTGTAAAAAGGCATCTATTTGGCTTTTAATACAAAATGACTCACAGAAACATGGGAAGGAAGTATCATACAAGCCTGTTACGGAATGAAAGAAACCAAACCAAACCCCCAATCAAAAAAGCTAACAAACATCAGCTACCTTCCCTGTCTTCAGTCTGGAGTAGAAAGGCGACTGGAGACCATATCAGCCCATTTAAAGAAGTCTTATTAAAACAAACAAACACAGAAAGAAACAACATCCCTAAAATCCGGCACGGTTTTGAGGCCAGAGGAGCTTGCCTAACCACCCTGGTGGAATGAGACACATGTGGTCATTGAGTGCGGCCCCCTCCCGCTGTTTCTTACGAGCCATGGTCTACAGGGAGGATGCCGGCCTGGGCACCATTTGAAGCCACTTGTTCCATCGGCGGTCTCATGAGCAAGCTGCCCGGGAGTCTTCTGCTTTGGACCCTCATTGAATCTCTCCCATATACAGCCTCTTGTCACTGGATGCCGAGAGAACTGAGGCAAAAAGAACAGAGAAGACAGTTGGGAATAATGAAGTCCCACAGAGACTTGAGGCTCAAAGGCTCTCCTGTCAAGAACCAATTCTGGTCCAGAGGAGCAACTGGATTTGGCCGGAACGTCCCTCCTCCTAAACGCCACGTACAGGAAACCGTTGTTTGGCTTTTTAGGCCTAACACTTTCAAAACCATGAGTGCAACTGTGATGGTGACAGAGGATTTCAGAGCTACATCATCTGGCTCTAATTCCTGACACCCCCGTCAGTCCAGGAGGCTCCTGGGTGGCACAAAAAGGTACACGCTCAATTACTAGCTAGAAGACGGATGGTTCAAACCCATCCAGATGTCTTAGAAGACAGATCTCCTGATCTGCCTGGGAGAGGCCACAGCTCTGGAAACTTAATAGCAGCTATTCTCTGCACACATGGGGTCGCCGACAACTTGTCCGTCAAGCCCAAGAAAAGGACCTCAGTCACCCTAAAAGCGGGGAATCGATGGCGATGGCAGCTGTTTCTGGTTGTTACACTTAGTTCTGAAGAGTGTTCACCATAATTTTGAGGCCTTACTTACGAAGGCTTGCTAACAAAGTTTAAGTAGCTCTGTAATCCATTTCTGAATACTGAGGAACATTCTTTTATTCAACCACAGTATCAAAGCATAGGCTTGAAGCAAGTACACGCGAAAGAACCACAAGCAGACTAACTAATGTCCGCTTGAGACGGAGAACAATACTTGCTGGTTTGCATGGCAAGTACATAGAGAGATGTCCACCTCTGTATTACCAGGACCCCTCTGAGGACATTCTTGCCGCTCCCCCTTTCCCATAGTTGGGCCAGACTTACTGATGGGCTCGTCCGGGTGGAAAGCCACTTCATTGATGGAGCCAGCGTGGCCAGGCAGTTTATACAGGATTCTTCTACTCGTGGTATCCCACACATACACAAACCTGCAAAGCACCATGGCAAAGGTCAGGACTCCAACCGCTGATGTAGGGCAGAGGCATGGCTTTTAGAAAGATTTTACTGTTATTTTGACCATTTAAGAGGACACTACTCAGTGGCACTAATTTACATCCTCACATTGTACAATCATCACAGAATGGAAGACCTCTTCCATTCTTGCAAAGGCCGGCCAACTGCGAATCACCTGTCAACTCTTACCTTTAGGTCTTTGCCTACACCCTAAAGCAAACTGACTGCCACGGAGAGGATCTCGACTCAGTGGCCCTACAGGTCGGAGTAGGACTGCCCCTGTGGGTCTCCGTGGCTGGAACTCTTGTATGGGAGTAGAAAGTCCTGTCTTTCTCCCTCGAAGCAGCTCACGGTAGTTTTAAACTGCTGGCCTTGAGGTTAACAGCCCAAGGCATATAGCCATTACACCACCAGGGCTCCAGGCTACCTATTCTAGAGATGACATATACACGGGGTCATACATAGTCCTCCTTTTGTGCCTGACTTAGTTCACTGTGTGTGGCCCTGGTTCCGAGCTGGGCTGCCAACCTCTGGGTCAGCAGTTGGCTACACCAGTCACCCGGTGGGAGAAAGGTGAGGCTGTCTACGTCTGTAAAAACTAGTTTGAGAAACCCACAGGAGCAGTTCTACTCTGTCCTGTAGTGTCCCCATGAGGCGCGATGGCCACCGATATTTCATTTAGTGTAGTGCAGAGAGAAACAGAGATTTTCTGCTACATAAACAAACCACAACTTGAACTGAACCCATGGGCAGACAGAATACAGAATTCTAAACTGAGAAGGGGCCAACATAAGCCAGCTGGCCTAGCCCCCTTGTTTCACAGACAAGGACCCTGAAGTATAGTGACTTCTCCATGGTGACTTGCACACTGACTATGTTCCGGTCGTGCCCTTTGTCCTTCCACCCTCAAACATTCTGGCAAAAAAAAAAAGGTCCTGTGATGATCAATATTGCTCTCTCTAGTCATTTTAGCAGGAGGTTAAAATAGAGACACCAGCTTCATATGATCATGAAAATTATCTGCTTGGTGCAGTAGTTACACCTTGTGCTGCTAACCTTGAGGTCAGCAGTTCGAAACTACCAGCTGCTCCGTGGGAGAAAGATGAGGCTCTCTCCTCCCGTCAAAAGTTACAGTCCAGAGAATCCACAGGGGCACTTCTACCCTGCCCTCTCGGGTGGCCATGAGTCAGGATCGACTCGATGGAAGGGAGTTTGGTTTGGTAATAAGTAAGAGCTTCTAATTACACTGCTCAGCTCTCGAGGGCTAGGCTCCAAGCAAGATGGAAGAGAAACAGGAAGCCCGTCTGTCCACAAACACCCTTCCCACGCCTTCTTTCCTGCCAGCCACAAACCACTGGTCCTCGTGACTTCAGCTAAGGCAAGTGTGAAACGAGTGCAGGCCTGCAGTCAGAAAGCCCTCCGTCCAAATGTCAGTGCAGCCACTCACTGCCTAAGTAGACTTTGATATTCGAACCTCCCCAAGCCTCTCTTTCCTTAGTTAGACCACCCCACTCTTACCGACCAATGAACGAATCTCACCCATAGTGGAGACGGGCCAGTCTTCCTGCAGTCCCTGAGAGGAAATCTGAGGGGGCGCAAGCTGGAGGGGTGATATGACTAGAGGGGGCAGATTTTGCCAAATCCAGGCCAAACTGAAAAGCAGTTTGCTGAGAAGCAAGGAGACTTTTCCTAGGCTCACAGAAGCCCGCGGAAGCCCAGATCTCCAAGGGTCTACTGCAAGGCATCACTCCCAATGGCTGCCAATCCGATGCTAAATTTAGAGGCTTCCATGTCCTCTTCTTACTTTGGTGTGCCCCCTTCAGCAGGAGCCATCTCTGTCTGTAACAGGGCTGCTGCTGACTTGGGCTAATTGGCGCAATGGCCTGTGAAATCCGGTCATGCCCCAGCAGGCAGAGGCCGGCTCCCCCCAGACCCGAGCCAGCGGTCCACATGTAATGTCTAATGGACAATGGGGGGCGGGGGCACTGCACATCAAAAAGGATCAATGTTAGAAGAAAACGGCTCTTCTCAGAAAAGAAAAAAAGAGGCTTATGCATATATAACCCAAAAGCTGAATCTTTGATAAAAATGATATAAAATGACTTAACAATGGCTCTTACTCTATCAGTTCTTGTCCATTTTCTCTGGCATTAAACTTGTGAGGGGAAAAGCAACAAAGGCAACCAGAGCCCTTAGGTTTATGGGCATGGTTCACAAACAGGAAGGGTGGGACAGAATGGAAGTGATTCTTCTCTATGGTAGGTGGCATTAGAGCCCCCAAAGGAGGAAACCCTGGAACATGCTGATAGCCCTCACTCGCCAAGGAACGGGCTCTGGTTGATATAATGGTGCTTGTTTTGATAGGTAGCGATGCTAGGCTCAAGAAGGACCAAGACATTTCCTACTGGTCACTAAACCCAGGATTTGCCCCCAGAGCCTTATCTGTAGTCTCTAAGCCTTAGCATCTGACCACCCCTATTCAGATTGAATTTTCTCGTGTTCGTAGGTCACCCGAACATAGTGGTTGTTAAAGTTTACATGTAAAGAAAGCCTCACTGTCTCTGAAGCCAGCTCAGGGCTGGAAACCACCTCAATGCCAGTTTGCCACGCCTCTGACTTAACAATCAGATCCATCCTGAAGCCTCTCAACCCAGCAGTCAGAGCCACTCTTTGAGCTGGTCTGTAATTCATGCACATCAATACGCAGTACTAGATCAGTACATTTCACACTAGATCACAATATCCAGAGAAAATGCTTAGTACACGGTGAATTAGAATGGATCTGGCAACAAAATGTTCTTCTGCCTAGAATATGTCAAGCACTCCCTTGAGTTTAAAAGGCCCAGCCCCTGACACGAGCACATAATTTAGTGGGGTTCTTCACTGTGTTTGTCTGACGAGAAGATGCAACACATGTTAATACAGGTTAGAGGAGTGACGAGTGAGTACGGCACAGAAAAAAGCACGAGCTATGCCTGCGAGGGAGCTCGGAGAGGATGCGGGCGCTCCCAGGTGGGGATGGGAGACAGACAGGACTTTGGACAAAGGAGACGTGGGCGTCTGAGAGGAGCCTGGAGGTGAGAATGTGCCAGTGAGTTTAGCAGCAGGCAGAGCACTGTGGATGGTGGATGGCGGCGGGTGCTCAACAGCGATTTGAACGGACTGAAGGATGGCAGGAGATGAATCTGGAAGGCGGACACAGTCTGCATTTTGTTTGGATGGCAAAGGGGATTCAACAGCAACAAAGCGCATTTTTACCCTCTGGGTCAAAAATGCAACCAAAGAGGGCAGACACGATGTGTGTGTTTGTGTGACCCATCGTTTGGCATCTGCACCCTGCTTTCTCAGTGCAGCTCTCGCTCTGCTGGAGCTCAGTGTCCCCCCCTCATGCATTACTCATGAGACACTATCTGCATCGCTACATTGTTCTGTTGCCCCAGACCTAGTAATCCTTACCTGTCGGCGGAGCCAGCTGCTATTTTGCTTCCATCGGGTGACCATGAGCATCTCAGGAGATTCTGCAAGATGAACACGCAGGTACCCATGGACTACAGCAACACACTGACTCTTCTTTATAGACAGTCTCCCCACGAAGAGGATCGGCAATTACCCCACACTCTGGGACAGCCCCACCCCCAAATAGCACACTCTGTCATTTCACACTAGATCACAATATCCAGAGAAAATGCTTAGTACACGGTGAATTAGAATGGATCTGGCAACAAAATGTTCTTCTGCTTACAAACGGAGGCCGGCTCCCTTTGCTCTACTTACCTTGACACTCACTCATTTTTGTTTGTTTGTTTACATGGAAGGAAAATGAAAATACTGCTAAAGCCAACAAAATATAAGATATGATTTATAAAGTAAAACAAAATCTCAAGTTCACAAACAAACAGCTCCCCCCTCTCCCCCCAACACACACACAACAACAGGGATTTAAACTAGGGGGAAACTGCTTTTATAGAACTGACTTCTGAATCTGCATGATTAGGAAAAAGGTATGATGGTAGCAAATGTACAAATGTGCTTGACACATGGATGGATGTATGGATTGTGATAAGAGCTGTATGAGCCCCCAATAAAATGATTAAAAAAAAAAAAGATTCAACAACAACAGAAAAAAGGTCTCTGTCAGACCTCTGGCCAGTGCTCAGAGGGGAGCCATGCAGACTGGGAGAGAACAGCAGACCCTCGGGCCCCAGCCCTGGGAGCCTGGGTTTCTTCGATAACCTCTGATCTCAGCGGGCCAGTATTTCCATGGGAGGAAGAGAAGAGCAGGGCTAAGGAGCCCTGGTGGTGAACTGGTTCCCACGTTGGGCTGCTAACCGCAAGAACAGCAGTATCTCACTGAGTGGGTACGAAAGTCAAGAGTCATCCTTTGAGGGCTGGCCCCACCAGTATCTAAAAATGCGTGGGGGAATTTCCATTATCTTTTACTTCAATGATCCCATGAACTTTTTTCATAGCAGCCTCCTCTCTGACGGCCTTCTTTCTTCTCTCTGCTTCTATTAGTTGGACTCCTGGCAAGCCCAGTTTTGGTGACGAGTAGTGTGACTGGAATACAATCCCCTCTCAGCCGCTCAGAACTCACCTTTTCAAAATTGTGCACGTTTCCTTGAAAGATCTTCACACATCTCTCCTTGGGGGCAAATGGGCGGACATCCCAGACTCTCACTGTGGAAGAACCCAAAGAAACCACTACTGAGACAGCGCTTAGCCAGGTGGCCTGAGAACCCGCCTGCAACGATGAGAGGGACAGACCCCGCTTCCTGCTTAGAGGGGCCAACATGCCGCAGGGGCAATGACCACGGGGGAGCGTCCTTTCTTTACAGGGTGGGAATGAGATACATCAAGGCCCACTAAGTAGGGGCTACGGCACAGAGGGAAGCTGAGGAACTTGGAGGGGAAAAGTCAAACATATTGCTGGGGATTGGCCGTGGGAAAAAGTTGCCTGTGATACTAATTCCAGCAAAACATTTTGCAGTGATTCCTAAGCAAACTCCATACAATCACATCCAGTACAGCTTCACCACGGCAACCTAACTGTGACAACGATCTCTAGGATCCCAGCGTAGCAGGGACCTTTCCTACCTCTGCACGTTACCAGAGCCAGCCGTGCCACAAGCACAGCAGCTGGAGGCCTGCAGATATGTAGGCCCCTACTTAGGTGAATATGGCAGATCTCTGTGTCCAAGTTTCTTCCTTTCTAAAACGAGACCACCACCAGCTTTTCTTCTTCTGTCTTAAAAGTCTAAGTTCTTTAAGGATCAAATGGGAGATACAAGGGACTTCAAAAAACTTGTGGAAAACTTCCATTATCTTTCAAACCCCTTTCCCCACCAAATGTTTGGAGTCTTTTCGTGTATGAAAGGGCTCTAAAAGGTTGGCAAGCAATCATCAAAAATAATGAATTTATCATTTTATTATGTCACGGCAACAAGAAACTCCCAGTTATTTTCACAAGTATTTATGAAATCTTCTCTTTCCTTAACAGTGAACAAGCTGGCACTGGCAAGTCAGCAGTTTGAACCCACCAGCTGCTCTGTGGAAGCAAGAGGAGGCGTTCTGTGTCTATAGATCCACCTCTTGGGAAAACCAAAAAAGGGAGCTCTACTATGCTCTATAGGGGTCACTAAGAGTCAAAATAGACCCAATGGCAGCGAGTTATTATTTTACATTAGCGTAGGCTATGGCTGTTGCTAAGAGTAATACTTGAGGGTGAAAAAATAACACGGACTCCTGGGGTCAAACTCAATGCCACAGAGTCGATTCTGACTCACAGAGACCCTATAGGGCAGAGTAGAACTGCCTTGTGGGTTTCCAAGGCTGCAACTGTGTACGGGAGTAGAAAGCCTCACCTTTCTCCCTCAGAGTGGCCAGTGATTTAGAATGTCTGACTTTGTAGTTATCAGCCCAAGTGGTAACCACTAGGCTAACAGGGCTCACTCTTGAGGTCAAACGGGCATGAAAACTTGCTGCTGGGCGGAGAATCCAGTAAGAAAGGTAGGATGTCCACTGATTCGGTAAGTATTTATTGAGCACCCACTCAGTGAGAGTCACTCTTTTTAAGTTATAAAACGTCAGTGAAATGCACTGTAGTTCCCAACAAGTCTGTAAAATTCTCTCTTGGGATGTTCCCAAACTTCCCCCAAATTGAGCATATATTCCAAGTCACCTTCCTTTTTGTTGTAGTATACTCATGTAGCTCAAAAAAACAACAAAGGCCCCAAACCTGTTTGCGTCCACCAAGAATGTGGAGCTGTCTGAATGAGGGCCTTGGGTCACACCAGTGGTTTTGGAGTGGGGAAGAAGGCACCCTGTCAGAATGGGCAAAATGTCGGGCATCAACAGGTCTATGGATTCCCCCGAGCTTGGTACTCAACTGTACTGGACAGCTCTTCCAGGTTCATCTTTCTCAGCAAACCAATCACTAAGAGTCCCATGTGGATCCAGGGCCTTGGATGAACAAGCTTTAACAGTAGAACAGTCCACCTGCCAGTGCAGACAGGGATGCCTGGAGACAATGCATGCTGTGGGCACCGCTGCTCCAAGACTGGCTGGCCGCCCTGGCTCTAGCATCCTTGGTTCTGAATTACTGGGTCAAAAGCCTACCCCATTGTAACACGTTTCTCTAATTGTCCAGGAGGAACCTGTGAGCCATTTCTGACTCTTTCTCTGGATCTCATTTACCGTGGCATGCATTTCTACCACTGGATGCCCACTTTCCTAAGGGCTGACACGGCTGGGTGCTGGGAGAACAAGCTTTCTCAAGGTTACCTGTATTGTCCATTGCATTGGACAAGAGGTAAGAGCCTTCAGAACTTAAGCTCAGGCCGGTCACGGAATCGGCATGGCCTCTCATGGTATAGGTCAGCTTGTTTTGGCGCAGGTCCCAGACCTGCAAGGACACAACCAGACTATCAGAAATCACGTGGGGAAGAGCACACAGAAAGAACTGCAACAGCCAACTGCTTGGGGAATTGATATCCCTTCTTAATCTGGCTCTAGGCCAATTATTACTGTATTTCAAAATATCGATTTTTGGTCAAAGAAGAAAAACCTCTTGCCTTTCTAAGTAAGGAGACAAAAGTTTCTGTTTGACAGGATTCATAATAAGGAATGTCAAATATTAAGATAAAGCTTAAGAGGAACAACAACAAAAAGACAGAATAGAGGTTATTTTTCAAACCCTGGTTTTTAAGAAGTACCTAAAAACAAGAAAACATGTCATTTGAGAAAGGCATTAGCATCACATGTATAACATATATACATAAACAACAGCAAGGTAACAGTGTAAAAATGTAGATGCTTACAATTTTCCTTTTAATGTATGGATATATGTATATGCATGCCTGTGCAAGGAAAAACATTCATTATAAGAAAAACAGATTCACTGTTGCCTGGGCAATAAAAGCAAGATGATTAGTTGAGCTGGAAAGAACATAAATGCCAAGCAAGGAAAACAATGGCCTACTAAGTTACGGCTCATAACAACACAGTACTGCCCGTTCTCATGCAGGCAGCAGTGGTACACAGCAGAGTGGGGTCTCTGGGCCAGGCTGAACTCATCTGTCGCTTGGAGCTGGGTGGGCACCGGGCCACTAAGTGTTGTCGCGGCGTTTCCTCGTCTGGACGACATGAGTAACAGTATCTCCTTGTGCTGACTAATGCGAAGACTACAAATAGAATTCTTAGCATATGTCTGGCACATAGCAGGCCCTCAATAATTGGTAGCTATTATTAAAAGCAGCTCCTAAAATCACCTTGAAGACCAAATAGAAAAATGTTTACAAAATAAGCTGTGAAGCAAAAAGGGGAAACACCAAATGGTGTTCAGAGCCACATCGACTACAGCTGTGTAAAACACGCTTAAGCCTAGAAAGATGGTCTGGAACGTCGAACGGAAGAAGAGCAGCAGGTTGGCTAAGGGCTTGCCATTATACACAACTTTGCCACTTGCACCAACCGGGAGAGATGTCCGCTGCCTTCGCCCACAGCACGGGGTGGGGCAACGGCACCGACAGACGCGCTCCATGCAAGGTCGCCACAAACTCACAGTTTGTGAGGAAACAAAAGAAGCCGGCTCTGTGACGCACAACACAGTGGATCTGCGCACACAGTGCTGAGGCACGCGTGGGTGTGTGCGCTCAGAGCAGCGGGAGAAGGAGCCTGAGTGGAGGGTAGAAGCCGGGGCAGGGGTGAAGCAGCCGTGGGCGCATCTGGGAGTTACCACAAAGGAACTCCCAGCTGGTATTTAAAAGAAAAATGCATACAAATTTTTTATCTAACATGGGACTCAAAGTTTACACAAAAAATACTGTTGTCTGGAAAAAGAGGAAACACACTGAAATTCCAACAGGATTGGAATCTGGATGATGCGATTAATGTACTTTTCCTACTTTTAAAAAACATTTTCTTTAATAAATTCTTAGTTTGATTATGGATCATACTTTAATTCTGACAATTACCTTAATATACATTCATTCTCTATAATAAAGTTATTTTGTCAACTACGCATTTGAATGCAATCTCTACATTTAAAATGGAAAACTTTAGGGTAAACAAAAAAAGCAAATTAGAAGTATCCACCCAGATTTCTGGTTGAAAAAACAGGATATATGACACAGTGCACAACAGGGAGCTCTCGACGCAGATGAAGGAAGCAGGAATCCCGACCAGGCCGCCCAGCCTCTGGAGCACTGTGCGTAGTTCTTGTTCACAAGGCCCTGAAAACAAAGTGCTGGCAGGAAAAGACAATGTCTGCGAACTAAACACCTCTGACTTTAGAAGGATACGGACCACGAGGCTATGATGTATATGAGAACTTTAAAATACACAGGGCATCTAGGAACTAATCCAAATTATACAAAACTCCAATCAGAAGACACCCTCAAGGAATATGAAGGACAATGTTTCAGGAAAGAGTAGTGCTGGGCAAAACTGCAGTCGCTCTGGGACTCTAAGTCTACATCTCCATAAGCATCCTTTCTGTCAGGAAAGCGCTGAGTGAGAGCAAATCTGTATAACAAGAATGCAAAAGCCATTTACTGCAAGTAGGTATGATATACAGTGTATATCTGAGAAGCAACCAAGCTCACATGGAAGCAGCACACCAGCATGTGTGATCGCGAGGTGTTGAAGGGATCAGGTATCAGACATCAAAGAACAAAAACTCATTCCATTATAAACGAGGGGGAGTGCGGAGTGGAGACCCAAGGCCCATCTGTATGCAACTGGACATCCCCTTACGGAAGGATTGCGTGGAGAAGGCGAGCCAGTCAGGGTGCAGTGTGGCACCAATGAAATATACAACTTTCCCCTAGTTCTTTAATGCTTCCTCCGGCCCACTATCATGATCCCAATTCTACCTTAGAAATCCGACTAGCCCAGAGGAGGTACACTGGTACAGATAGGAACAGGAAACAGGGAATTCAGGACAGATGAACCCCTAAGGACCAGTGGTGAGAGTGGTGATACCAGGAGGGTGGAGGGAAGGAAGGGTAGAAAAGGGGAACCGATTACAAGGATCTACATATAACCCCCTCCCTGGGGGGTGGACAACAGAAAAGCGGGTGAAGGTACATGTCGGGCAAATAATAATAATTTATAAATTATCAAGGGTTCATTGGGGAGGGAGGGAATGAGGGGCTGATACCAAGGGCTCAAGTAGAAAGCAAATGTTTTGAGAGTGATGATGGCAACAAATGTGCTTGAACAATGGATGGATGGATGATGAGTTGTATGAGCCCCCAATAAAATGAGTTTTAAAAAAATCTTCAAATCCTAGAAAGGGGTACACCTCCAGGACTAGAGCCCAATTGAATCTGTCTGTCTAGAAAGGCCAAGAACAGTGGGGACACAGACCCAGGAAGCAGTCACATTCTCTGTGGTAAGAAGTTTGGAGTCAGAGCAGAGATGAGGGCATCGCGGTTTCCCTTTTTGCCAGTGTAATAAATATACACATGTTTTTGTGTGTGTGTAGAACAAAAGTCTCAAAAAGGTATTAAATCATTTTATTTAAATGATATTATGGACAACAAAAAGACCTCCCAAGAGTACAAAAGACAAACAGTGCTTGTTAGTGTCAGACATGCTGAGAAGCGTAGACTACAAGTAGAACTATGGAATTTTGGGGGCAATGGAAAAAAAACCACTTAGTCTAATTTGCAATAATTATGGTTCCATGCAAATGTTAAAATTCATAAAACTACAAACAGCAAAGGCAGTACATTTAAAAAATATCTTAAAAGTATAAAAAACGATCCTATCTTGATGACACTAACCCACTTTCATATGCACAAAAAGCCCTCTGGTGATTCTAATGCCGGTGGGACCCCAAACTTCACTCTGGGAAATACTACACCAGCTATTAAAATGATCTAATTAAGTCCCTATGTTCTGATTCCACATTCTTCAAATAGTTACATGGGGAAACAAAGGAGCAGGAAGCTACGTTCAATTTTGGGAAAAGGTGAGTTCTGATGTACTTCTGTGCGGTCCGAGTGGGGGATGTGGTGTAACTGGTTACACAAAGGGACTCAAGATCTGGAATGGGATGGAGAGTCACCAGCACAGAGCGGGCTACTGAAGTCATGAAAAGATGAGACCGTCTAGGGAGAAAAGAAGTTCGAGGAAAAATGGCATTTAAGTAACTGATGAACCCAGAGAGGTAATGGAGAGTGTGTCGAAAAACGGCACCCAAACCCACTGTCATGGGGTTCATGCCAACTCGGAGCCACCCACAGGTCGGAGCAGAGCTGCCCCCAGGGGTTTCGAGGTTATGCATCGTTGGGAGCAGAAAGCCTCATCTTTCTCCTATGAAATGACTGCCGGGTTTGAACCCAGAGCCCCACAAACTAAACCTACCACCACGCCGACACACATTCACCCAGACTCTAGAGAGGGTTTCCCAGGCTGCCAAATCTTTAGGGCAGTGGTGCTCAACCTCCTAATGCTGTGACCCTTGCATACGGTTCCTCATGTGGTGGTGACCCCCAACCACAAGATGATTTTCATTGCTGCTTTATAACTGTCATTTTGCTACTGTTATGAATCATCATGTAAATATCTGCTATGCAGGATGTATTTTCATTGTTACAAATTGAACATAATTAAAGCATAGTGATGAATCACAAAACAACCTGTAACTATAGATGGTGAAATATTCATTTCTAATGATGAATAAAAGAACTTTTGTCTTGAAGCATGGTGTAGCATGGGTAACAGTCTTCACACCAGCTACTCATATGTGGATGTATCTGCATGTGGGCGGACCTGCCTGGAGATGGATAGAGGAGCGGTGTCTCGGTTCCTGAGACCATAGGAAATATGTGTTTTTCCGAAGATCTTAGGTGACCCCTGTGAAAGGCTCGTTCGATCCCCAAATGGGTCGCGCCTCACGGGTTGAGAACCACTGCTTTAGGGAAACCGATAGCCTTCCTGTTCTCTCTCAGAGCAACTGGTGGGTTCGAACCAACCTTTTGGTTGGTTAGCAGTCCAAAGCCTACCCAACAGCGCCACCAGGGTTCCCCTGTCTCACCCACAATGACCGCAAGAGGCAAGAGAAAGGAATACGGTACAGTTTTTCAGTAGAGGAAGTTGAGTACAGTCTCTCAATAAAAGTGGACGAGGCCAACGTTTCTGAGATCTTTAAGAACATCAAAAAGTAGAAACAGAGTTGGTGCCACTGCAAACTAACACCCCGCATTGACTTACTGGCACTTGCTGTGCCAGTACTCTAAAGCATGAGTTCAGTTGCTCTCCACAATCCTGTAAGGTAGACATCCCATTACCACCACTATTACCCTCGTTGCTCACGTGAGGAAAATGGAGGCGTAGCTATGGCTAGGCTTTGAAAAGTTCCTTCTCATATTCTCAAAAAGAAAGACCACGGCAGGAAAACACAAATGGACTCATTTCATTAGGCCATAAGCTTTTAAAAAATTCTTTTGGAATGTCTTTAGGCAGAGACTACATTCTACATTTCTACATAGTCCCCACCCAGGGACTTCACCTTACCTGCCAGGCTTCTGAAGGCATTCCTATGAACTGCAAAGCAACCCTTGATTCAGGAAGTCAACAGGGCAGGGCAAGTTACTACTTATTTTCAGCAGGTATTAAGCACAAGCTACCAATTTCAGAAGTTTGAAAAGCATCACCTTTTCGAGTTGAGAAAAGTATGACGCATTAAACATACCTTGATATCATTGTCTATGCCACCAGAAATAATCTGATCACTCGTGTCATTGAAGGTCACAGCCAACACCTGGTAAGTGTTTTGAAAGGTCTGGCTGGCTGCTTTCTTACGGATGTCCCAAAGCTGAAACAAAGCAACAGCAACCCATCAGCAAGATCACCTGAAGATATAACTAAACAGTACAGCTTAAGTCCAAGGACTTCCAGGAGGTGCGCATATCACTAAAAAGAACTTCAGTGAGAAACTTTTCTGGATACCCTTGTAAAATTCACCCCAAGAAGCAGGTCACAACTCAACTGTTCTATTTCCAGAGTTCTTTGTTGAAAGTTTAAATACATAGTTATGCGATGTGGAAAACGTAACAAACGTCAGTGAGCAGTACTTGTAGAAACTGTTACATGGGAACAGATTGTGAGGTCAACTGTCAGACGCTAACAAAAACATGCTTAAAACAACATGCCTTAGAGTGGACCCTCTGCCTGTTTGCTTTGTATAGTTTTTGGGCAGCAAGGATATTAGACCAGGAGTTTTCAAAGTGTAGAGCTTAACTTACGGTTGGGCTGAAACTTACATTTAAAAAAGAAAAGACAACGGTGACGTTAAACAGTGTACAACAGTGAAAATAAAGAAGCAGAGAATTCCAAGAAGGAGCCTTACTGGCAAAGATACTTCAGCACTCGTGTAACCAAGAGTTGGCAGTGTACATTCCCCCGACACTTCATGGGAGAAGGAAACCTGGTGATTATACACACACGCACGCACGCGCGCACGCACATATACATATAAAAATTTATTTAGGGTTCAAGAGTGGTAGGGTGGGGGAGGGAATAAAGAGGAGCTGATATCAAGGGGCTCATGTAGAAAGAAAACATTTTGAAATGATGATGGCAGCATCTGTACAAGTTCACCTGATCTAATTTAATTTATGGATTGTTACAATATCTGTAAGAACCCCCAATAAATGATCCAAGTAAATAAATAAAATCAACATTAAAAAAAAGCAAATACATTAGTAGTTGTAGCAGGGGATACTGGGGGAAAACAACAGACAAATCAAAAGGCTTAGAAGAAAAGGTTGGGGAATAAGATGTTTTGGAAAGAAAAGATTTTGTAGAGCTCATTTTCTGGGGATCTAGAAAGCCATGCATGTGCCTACAGGTCAGTCAGTTATTTCTCATTGACCTTCTAGTGCGTGTGCAGAAAGCAAAGAGTAGCAGTGTCCTGATCTTCCTCAATGATTGTTGAAGGCATACCCCAACACACACACACACACACACACACACACACACACACACACACACACACACACAAATTGATGTTTTTAAAAAAAAATTTCATTCCCACGCATTTAAAGAAATCCCTGTTGAGTCACTGGCTGACTATTAAGCTAATGGAAGACTTTGGTAGCCAATGGATGACTTCTGTAGCTACATATAACACGAAGAAACGAATTACCGAACCATTCCCTGGAAGGGTTCAACAGCAGATTTGAGCCTGAAAACAACAAGTCAGCTGTTGTCTATCTGCCCAAGACGCTGAAAGGAGAGTAGGCTAGGGAAGAAGGTGGCCCAGGGCCCTGCTCTTGCCACAAAGCATGAGGCCAACATGTGGTGAATCCTGTTGGAGAAAAGCTCAACGGTTCTTAACCTGTGGGTCATCACCCCTTTGTCGGGTGGAACGATCCTTTCACAAGGGTCGCCCAATTCATAACAGCAGCAAAATTACACTTATGAAGTAGCAACGAAAATAATTTTATGGTTGGGGTCACCACAACATGAGGAACTGTATTAAAGGGGCGCGGCATTAGGAAGACTGAGAAGCACTGCCTTCAGACATCCAACACAAAAGGGAACCTCATCCACTTTGTCAAACAGCCTTGCCACATCTGGCTGAAGTGGCAAAGGGGTATCTTTTATAAGCAGCTGAGTGTTCCTCCTCATCAATCAACCATTTTATCAAGGGCTTGGACCACCAAAGAATCAACTGTTGAGCTGTCCCATATGTCCAGATCAGAGACAATGAGAGGGAAACAGCAGAGGCTATAGGCCTGGGCTATAAAGAAAGCTGCTGACTCAGAAAACATCCTTCCCAAGAGACCTCTGTCCTTTGTACAAGGGTTAATACTGCTAGCACTTAGGCAGAAAACGAGAAGCCCTAGCTGGTGGTGATTGCTCATAATGTGGACTCCATTGAACAGGTGGTCTTCCTGTGGGTCACATACCAAGCTGGGAAAAGCAAAGGCCAAAGAATTCTCCTTCAACTTGGGCCAATGCACACAGCTGATTTTTCTGTAGATAAACACAAAACATCCATCCATACACATATATATATAAGGAATAAAGAATCTGAGGGTGAGTCATATAAGATTATTCAATTTGAGGGACAGAAAGAAAAATAAATAAAAAAAAGGAGAACAAGCGCCAACCTAGTGGGACACCATCAAGTATACCAACATACGTATAATGGGAGTTCCAGAGGAGAGGAAAAGAGAATATGTGATACAAAGAACATATAAGGAAACATTAGAAAATGTTCCAAACTTGATGGAAGACATGTATCTACATATTTAAAAAGTTCAATAAACTCCAAATGGCATAAAAGAGAGCCACAACAAGACATTATAATCATACTGTTGAAAGCCACTGTGATGGGTTAGATTTTATGTCAACTTGGTGCACCTGTGTCAAGGTATGGGCAATCCAACCTCTCCATCAGGACACAGCCTAATGATGCCTCCATAGGGGTGGTGGTGGTGGTGTTACCCTATTTATAAGGGGCACTGGAGGATTGATCTCTTGCTTGCCCCTCTGCCTTCCTGCTTGCCTGGATTTTGTGTCTGGTTCTGAGTCTGAGTTTGCTGATTGTGGGAGGTGTTGCCATGTTCTCGCTGACCTTGGGTCCACGTGCCTCTGCATCTACCAACCTGTGATCTCCCCACTTCTTGCTTCCCCTTGCGGCTTCATCGGCCTACAGCTGTGTGAGTCTACCGGGGCTCCAGCTCACATCTGACCCATGGACTTCAGTAGGACTGGGTCAGGCTGCTTTCTCGATATAAAATTATTTTTTCTATATAAGAAATATCCTAGTTTTGATTCCCTAGAAAACCCGACCCAAAGGTCACAAAAAGAGAACCCTAAAACATCAAATACAAACTAATTCACAATGCATGAAGAATCTTGTATGATGAATGGTTGATATTTCATCAGAAGCCATGAAAACCAGGAGGTGATATGTTCAAAGTACTAGGGGAAAAAACTATGCACCAAGAAATTCTATTTAGCAAAGCTACCCCTCAAAATTGATGATGAAATCAAGGCATTCCCGGGTAAACAAAAGCTGAGGGCATTTATTACCACTAGATTTTCCCTACAAGAAATGTATGGAAATAATCCAATGGGCTAATGGGCCAGACGACCCTCAGCCTCGCTGGTACTGAGAGCAGAATAACTCCATGATGCCAGGCTGCTACTACCCACTGCTCTGAAAGCAATCATAATAGATGGCCCTGAATAAAATGTTAGAACAATTTGGAAGAAAACTAAGTTATAAAAAAGACGAGGCTTACTGGTCATATAGAGACCGATGGAATCTCACCCAGACTAATGGCCCTTAATTACTCTTCAGGCCTGGAACTGACTGACTGTCAAGGTTCAATGTTCCCTCAAGCAACAGATGGGTTTATTAAGGAGAACAGTTCATTGTATTACATGTAGTGCCACTATGGACCAGAGGTGACTTCAGTGGCACCCAGCAGCAGCAACGTAAGTTCCTCTCAGACAGCTGTGGAAACGTGAAATGGCACAACTACTGTGGAACACTGCAGGCAGGTAGTGTTTCCTCAAAGTTAATACACAGTTACAATATGACCCAGCAATTCTATTCTACTCATAACAGCTAGACAATGGAAATGACCCAAATATTCATCACAAGATGAACGGATCAATAGAATGAGGTGTATCCATACAATGGAGTATCATTCAGCCACAGAAAAGAATGAAGTACTGATACATGTAACAACACGCCCATGTATGAGCCTAGGAAACATGCAGTACAGTGAATTACTTAATGGGGGATGGCATAGTAGGTCAAGCACTTGATTCCTAATGGCAAGGTCAGCAGTTTAAAGTCATTAGCCATTCTATGGAGAAAAGATGAGGCTGTCTGCTCCTGTAAAGAGATTCAGTCTCAGCACAGCTAAAGAGCATTCTACCCTGTCCTTTAGAGTCACTAGGAGTTGGAATTGACCCAGTGGCAGGTTTGGTTTAACCGACTCTTTGTGACTTCCATGCAATGACTGGGTCCCTAAGCAAATAAGGTGCTTGTGGCTTACCAAAGAGACTGAATAGACTGTCCACCCTGGAAGATGAGACCATGCAAAAAGGTGTACCAAACTATCATTATGGGATCAGCCAGTTTTGGCACGCTGTAGATTTAAAACGAGTGCACCCCAGTGTTAAGGAGGGGTCCTCACTATTACCAACAAGAAAAACTTTGGTTTTCTGAGCTGAGAACTTATTAGACCTGCCGGTATTTATACCTCCCACCTCTGATAATGAAAACAACAAGCAAACAACTCTCCAGCAATAGTAGATCTAAGTTAAGTCTGAACTCTGGAATCATTCCTCTTAGCAAAGTATCATGTAGCTCCAAATGACCTTGCACTTAGTAGAAATCATTTCGTAGAAATATTCTCCAAAGCAGACAATCCAGTTATGTTGGTATAACCCTTACTATGAAAACCAGCACATTCATTTAAAACTGCAATACTTTCAAGTTCAGTGACTTAGTAATACCCTGGTTAGTCATTAAAATATCACCCTGGCGTCCAAAATTAATGCCCCCAAATAAAAAGGCTGGCACTGCAGTGTGCCCTGTGTGCCCGTGAGACAAGTTAGCATTTCTAGTCTCATTTTACAAATGAAAATGTGAACAAAATCAGTGGTTCCCAAATTGAGACCCACTACATAAAACCCCTGGAGAAATATAAAAATACTGATGCGCATTCCATACCTATTAAATCTCTGGGTATTATTATTTTTTACATCATTTTATTGGGGGCTCATACAGCTCTTATCACAATCCATCCATTCATCCACCGTGTGAAGCACATTTGCTGCCATCATCATTTTCAAAACATTTTCTTTCTACTTGAGCCCTTGGCATCAGCTTCTCAATTTTCCCCCTCCCTCTCCACCCCGCCTCCCTCATGAACCCTTGATAATTTATAAATTGTTGTTATTTTTGCATGTCTTACACTGACTGATGTCTCCCTTCACCCACTTTTCTGTTGTCCATGCCCTTGGGAGGGGGTTATAGGTAGATCACTGTGATTGGCTCTCCCTTTTCCCCTGGCATTGCTAGTCTCAATATTGGTCCCTCTGGGTATTTTATCATGTTCTTCAGGTGACTCAGAAATGCAGACATATCAGAAACCAAAACTGCCCTGGAGTTCCCACCCTTAATTGAGCTTCATATGCATTTTTCTGTAATCCCCAAACAAAGCAATATGCCTGGGTCACTCTTCTAAAGATTAGGTGCACTGGTGGCTTAGTGGTTAAGCATTGGGCTGCCAGTGATAAGGTCAGCAATTCGAAACCACCAGCCACTCCTTGAAAGAAAGACAAGGCTTTCTATTTCTGCCGATTTAGTCTCTGAAACTCACAGGGGCAGTTCCACCCTGTCCTACAGGATCGCTATGCACTGGCATCGATTTGATGGCAGTCTGCTTCTTTCTTTTCTTGTCCTGAACATTAAGAACCCAAGGCTCAGAAAGCGAAACTGCATATACAAGTACGCAAACAGCGGGGCCCTGGACCCAATCTAGTTGGAACAATTTTATTGTTTTGTGTTCTATTATTCTGTAGAGTACGGAAAACACTGCCTATGATTAAGAGCACTTTTTTAAAGGAGAAAAATTTCAAGTGTTTGTTCTGAAAAGCAATTGCTAAAAGGGCTGTGGAGCAGAGGGTGCAGCCAAGGTGGGAAGGCAAGAAGATAAGGTTCACTCAGATTGGGTCCGCGGGAAAGCACCTCAGGCGGACAGCATCACCCACCTTAACTGTGCCGTCGTCACTGCCAGTGCACACAAGCTGGGGACCTCTCCTGGCCGGATAGCAGGAATTCACAAAAGAAGTATGCCCCTTCAGTCTTTTTACTCTCTCGCCCGTCTCACTGTCCCACACAGCTACGGTTTTGTCTGTGGATGCCGAGAAGAGCATACTAGAAGGCAAGAAGAACACAAAAGAAATAAGGGAACACACTAGCAATTTATCTTTCCTACTCACCAAGATTCTGACGATTTTGTACATGAACCATTATCTCTACTTGGATGCCTTGCCCTAGCTACAAAAATTCTACTCAGGCTGGGACGCCAATTTATCCTCATATCCAGCCTCCCTGGGCTGGATCACATGTCTGTGTCTTTGTCTCTTTTAAGATTTAATAAATGTTCTCTCAAAAAGAAAAAAATATTCTACTCAGGCTTTAGACCCTTTTACATTATCTTACAAGAGCTACCTGATGAAGCTGTACAAAATAATCTTCTCTGTGCCCCATGACATATTATATACCCAAAAGAGTAGTTTTCTGAATCCTTATCCCTTCTTTGTGATAAATAACATTTTACATATCATACACACTTGATCTGGAAATGTAGTCACTCCCTGTTGCTGCAGAGATAAAACAGACTGTGCTAATTCTGGACCCGACAGCTATGCAATTCTAACGCTTTCTCTGAGATGCAAAACTTTCAACTTTTTAACGGAAATATTAACAGGAAAATGTATAAAGGCTATATATGCCAGTTGACCCAGATTTTAGAGGCCAGAAGTCTTAAAAAAAAGCTAGGCAAGATATGTAACAATGGAAGTAATGAAATTTATATAACCAATTTTTTATAGTATCAATAGACAGTCTACAATTATTTATCATTACCATGACTGTGATATATAGCGTGTGCTAGGTGAATAAGTATGAGGGAAAAGCAGGGCACAAGCTCTTCTACACAGCTCTGACAAATATATGAAAACCAAAGAATTTTGAGTAGAAGAAAGGCTTGAGGGAAATGTATCATATGATTATTTTGTTTTTTTTTAATAGTATAAATATGGGCTATTTTTCCAGCTGTCTGTCTTTTTTGAGTTCCTCAAAATTATCTTATCACTTTTTTGTGGGGAAAAAAGTTTCCATATACACTCGAGTAGAAGCCGAACCGACTATCAGCCGAGGCACTTAATTTTACCACATAAATTGCATTAAAAAATGTGCTGAAAAACTCGGCTTATACTTGAGCATATATGGTAATTTCTACACATAAAAATTTCCTTTTGCTTTCTATTTTCAAAAGAAGACAAATGTATCTGGGTTGGTGTTATGTTAGAAGACAGGGATGACATACTGCATATATGAAACAATAAGCCTTTTACTTGGGATGACAATGACAAGGGTAGGGTAGTGACCTAAAACGTAGGGCGAAAGGTGAAACAGTGCTAAGAAGTAAAACCATTGCCTGCCCATGATGCAACCGCCTCACCTGCCGTCTGTGTTGTAATGCAGCTCCATCACGGCGCCACTGTGCCCCTTCAATGTGGCATAGTTATCACAGTCCCCATAGACATTCCACAGCACTGTTTGGGAGAGAGGAATGTCACTAACTTACCATAAGGCACATTTTACAAGTGGGCGTGGGCGGGGGTCACCAAATGTGAGATGGCACGAGTCCTGGCTGGTTTCGGATAACTCTGCACCTCAGGATGTACGTCATGTCTTCACTGCCAGTTTTGATCTGGATGCTTCCATCCAGCGACTCTTAAACTTACTAGCAGTCAAGCACACTAGTTACAGTTTCACCAGCAGAAAATAACTATTGTACAGATGCCCTTTACTGCCTAAATGCTGCTCTTTAGCTTACATTTCTTACCTGCTACATTAGCTCAAGCTTTGCCGTCACGAGGAAGACATTCTCCAGCTAGAACAACGCACTCATCAACCAGTTACATAATTCTTATTTCTTTACCACACAAACCCTCTCAAGTCCGCAACCAGGATCCTTCAGTATTTCCACCTGCCCATCTTATTATGCCAACTACGCCGTCTGTCATGTTGCTTCACCTCCAGAATTTATCAACTTAAAAAAACACCACTATTTGGCAGAGAGCAATTATAAGAGGTTAAAAAGCGTGCCTTACATATCAGCCGGTCAAATCCTGCCGACGCCAAGGTGGACCCACTGGGATGAAACTTGCAACAGTACACCTCTCCTTCATGTCCTGAGAGCAGCATGATTGGGGCTTGAAGGGAGGAGCACCTGGGAGGGCCCTAAACAGAGGAAAGAAGTACAGAGTGACCACTGCCCACGGCAAACCTCAGTCCGGCCCGGGCTGCCCAGCCCACAGGCCCAGGAGGCTGCCAAACTGGGAGTGAGGACAAAACGAAGGTGGGATTTCTGCTCTTCTCACACCATTCATGCATCTCGGGAGTCTCGCAGCGGAACATGCCTGTGTCACAGCTAAATTATGGCTCAAACATGTTAAACTCATATTGCTACGGGAACTTTGCATTTTTGGTACCAGACCCCCCCCTCCCCCGAACATTTTCCTCCATGTTTGGCTACTTTCAAATGTTTCTGACTCAAAAAGTTCTTCCTTGATGGCTAACACTCAGGTATAGCATCATTACTCCCATCTCTGGGGGTATCATGGTTACGCTCCTGGCTGCCAACCACAAGTGTACCAGCCGCTCTGTGGGAGAAAGAGGCTTTCTAGTCCTGTCAAAAGTTAGTCTGGAAACCTGTAAGACAGCTCTGCCCTGTTCTTACAGGGACACCACGAGTCTGAATCAGCTCGAAAGTGTGCATTTGTTTGTTCTGATATTCCATTAACCATACTATATTCCTTTATAGTATTTACACTATCTGAAATTATCTTACACACACACACACACACACACACACACACTTCATCTATTCCCCATGAGAACAGAAGGCAGCGTTTTTTTTTTAAGGGAAAAGAAGCACTTTATAAACAAAGAACTTAAATATATCCAATAATCCTTGGGTATGATTACACAGTAATTAAGGACTATGATAAAGATCAGGCATCAAATAAATAAATTATGTGCTGTATACCTTTTTAGGAATGTTGTGGTTGGTGCTGTGGAGTAGATTCTGACACATGGTGACCCTATATGATAGAGTAGACCTGTCCCACAGGAGTTCTTTCTCCAATGTTTTATTATAATTTGCATGGAATTTTATCATGCAAACTAGTTTTCCACTCAACAATGCACACACATTTTGTTTCGTGCCATGGACTAATCCTTACAATGTAGCGGCACTCTCAAAACTTCCTCCATGTTTGTGGTTTCCAATAGTGAATCAGGGATCCTGACTGCAACACCATGCAACACTGCATTTCCCAGTAGCCTTCCCATTGAATGAATGCAGGATTAAAAGGAGCTTCCAACCACCCTGCAGAGTAAGGGCTATTCTTAATATAGGAGGTGTGATTTTGTCCTTGGACACTAAGCCTAGGTTTGGGCAATTCTCTTCGAAACCCGAGCTGACAGGCTCAATTATCAAACAAGAATAACTACACTACCAATCATCCCCAAATCTCTTCAGTGGCTTTTCGTTTATTCATTTATTCAAATAATACCCCTTGCCAGGCACGTTCTAGATATAGGGAAACAGCAAACCAAATAAACCATGGAGCTCACCCAGTAGGAAGGGGAGAGATAATGAAAGGCTACAGAGGGTGGCCGTGTCCATCAGAAAGCCCTCAGATGACAGGTCTGGCAACAGACGTAAGCAAATCAGCCACTGAAAACACCTACGGAGCACAGTTTCACTCTGACACGCGCAGGGTCCCTGTGAGTGGAAGCCAGGTTGACAGCAACTAGTTTAGGTGCTCTGGAGAAAAGCAAAGGCGTATAGGCTTACTGTCATATAGAGGAAGATGGTCAGGAAAACAGTCACTGACAAAGTGGTAGCCGAGCAAAGACTCAAAGGAGCAAGAGTGCAGGTCCAGAGGGCATTTGCAGAAGAGCACCCAGCGGTGGGAGCAACAGGTGCCAAGGCTGTGAGTGACGCAGGAGCATGGAAGTTAGTGTGGGTGGAGCGAGTGAACAAAGAGATTGGTGCACGAAGAACCGGGTAAGGATTTAGGTTTTACTTGAGTAGAAGACTACTGTAAACTTTTCAGAAGAGGATATAAAGAACTGGTTTATACTTTAGAGACTTCTCTGGCTATAGATAATAAAAGCAGAAACAAGAACACCAATGAGAATCTGTCTACTTCCATAATCCTAGATGAGTAAATAGCTTGAACAGGAGTGGTAGCACTTCTGAATATATACTGAGGGTGGTGTCAGTGGGATTTGCTGATAGGTTGGTCAGTGAACGAGGGAACACATGTATACCTCAAAGTGCAGTAGGAGAGGTATGATCACTACCTATACCTTATAAGAAAGGTAGTTAATAGCATAGGTCAGATTCTGGAGCCAGAGTGTCTTGGTTCAAAATCTGTTTCTGTAGGTACATGTACGTTTATGACAGAATAGCAAAAAGAAAACCTAAGTACCTGTCAATGGATGGCGCTGAATAAATAAAATGTGGTCCACAGAATACTATGCAGCCACGAAGAAAAAAGGGCAAAATATATAAAACATGGATGAAACTGGAGAACATTATGAAATAAGGTAATCACAGGTGGTCAAATTTTATTATGACCTTACTATTACAAAGAGACAATCAGTACACATAATGAATCCAATAATCACTGGTGATTACCAGTGATAGTGTTGGGAGGGGAGGGGAGATTACTCTTTAGATAGCAGACACTTGTTATTGGGGGGTGGGGTGGGGAATATGACACCAGATGTGGGTGAAGTACATGGAACTTGACCAAGGTTAATGATGTCACCAAGAAGCAGGAAAAATAAAAGGCCATTTTTGGTAAATGCTATGACATATAAGGTTGTGCAACAAATAAATCTGTTTTGGAGGAAGAACAGCTACACTGTTCCTTACAAGTGAGGATGGTGAAACGTCATCTCACGCATTTTGGACATGTTACCGGGAGAGATCAGCCCACTGGAAAGAACATGCTTGACATAGTAGAGGGTCAACAAAAAAGAGGAAGACCCTCAATGACATTAAATGACACAGGAGCTGCAACAATAGGAAACTCATCATAGGAAAGACTGGGAGGATGACGCAGGACTTGGCAGTGCTTTGCCTGTTGTGCACAATAGGGTCACTATAAGGTGCAACTGACTTGCTAGTTATTCAACAACAGACGCATACATGCGTAGAAGTATATATGTATGTATATAAGTTTAAATACCCCCAAAACAAACCTACTGGGGTCCAACTGATTTGAACTCAGTGACAGAGTAGAATGGCCACATCGGGTTTTTAGGGCTGTATGCCTTTACAGAAGCAGACTGCTACAGTTTTCATGTGGAGTGGCTGGTGGGTTTGAACTACCGATCTTTCAGCTAGCATCAAGTGTTTTAACCACTACTGTGCACTAGAAAGGGGCTGTGGTGGCATAGTTGTTATGCGTTGGGCTGTGATTTGCAAGGTCAGCAGTTCGAAACCACCAGCCACTTCAGGGGAGAGAGCCGTGGCTTTCTACTCCCATAAACAGATAGTCTTAGAAACCCACAGTCACTATGAGTCAGCCTCAACTCGATGGCAGTGAGTTTTGTGCCACTACAACAAGAGCCCTGGTGGCAAAGTGGTAATGCACTGTGCTAACTGCAAGGTCAGCAGTTCAAAACCACCAGCTGCTCCTCAGGAGAAAGAGGAGGCTTTCTACTCCCATAAAGAACTGTTGTCTTAGAAACTCACAGGAGCAGTTCTACCCTGTCCTTCAGGGTTGCTATGGGTTTAGAATTGTTTAGATGACAGTGAATTGGTTTTTTTGTCTTATATATATAAAGCAACAAACAAACAAAAAACCCCCAGAACATACAAACTCACTGCTATCAAGTCGATTCTGACTTATAGCAACCCTAGCACAGGGTAGAACTACCCTTGTAACTTTTAACAGTAGAAAGCCCCCTCTTTCTCCTGCCTTGTGTGCAGGGGTGGGCTGATAAATAGATGTAAGTGTCTATTTATACACGTATCTCCTGCTTTTAAAAGGTTCTCTTCATGTTTCTTCATTTTTGGTAAGTAAAAGAAACCCGAGGGGCACTGTGTTTTTATGAAATGAAACCAGCACTGAGTTGCAGTGAGCCGTTAAAGAAGTTGCAGCGTGTACATTGAACTAGAGTAGTGTCGCCAAGCTCCTTCTCCAGGAAATGCACTTACAGAATTACTTTAGGTAGCAGGGGACAGCTGTATAGGTTAAGTATGTGTGTCCATCCATGCGGGAGTTCAAAAACTTCATGGGAAAGGAGATCACAAGATATTGGAATTTTTCTGAGAGCTTTCTGTAGCTCCTTTGATTACTCACGTATACAACAAAGCACACACGGGGCAGAAAACACCTCACGGGACTGGTTTACAGGGTCCAGAGCAGTGGTTTTCAACCTTCCTAATGCTGCGACCCTTTAATACAGTTCCTCATGTGGTGGTGACCCCCCCAACCACAACATTATTTTTGTTGAGAATTCATAACTGTCATTTTGCTACTGTCCTGAATCAGGTGATCCCTGTGAAAGGGTCGTTTGACCCCCAAAGGGGTCTAAAGGCTCAGGGCCATAGTGTCATAGGACAACTCAGTCAACTGGCAAAGTAAAGTATGTTTGGTTTATATTGTGTCCTAGTTTACGCCTTCAAAAGCTTGCAAGTGGCCACCTACGATAGTCACTGGTCTCTACAGGTCTAGCACATAAGAATGAAAACTACCAAGGATTCAGAGAAGAAACTGATCCACAGGACTGACAGCATGGACAAATCATAATCTCATCTGCCTGGAGCTCAGGGCTAGGGGGTCCTTGGCTACCACCACTGACTGCTGTGATCAGAGCCAGAAACGATGGCTCCTGATTGAATGGGAGGTAAATGTGGAACATAACTCAAATGTGTGAACATATCTCAAGTTTGAACTCAAAGTTTAAACTTGCCAGACCTCTGGAAACAGAAGCAGAAGAGAAGTCATAAAGCTGACACAGTGCCTGAAAAGCAACCAATGTCACACAACTGATGGTGTAGAAATTGTTCAGTGGCCCCTTAATTTGCTGTGTCAACTCTCACTGAAAACACAAGATGCTACTTTTTTTTAAAAAAGGTTGTTTTTTTTCACTTACTAGGTTGTTTTTTTCTCATCTGTGAAATAGGTCCATATGAGTCCCTAACTAAAATACCAGAGATTACACAAGGCACTCAACGCAAAGGCTCAACGAATGGTCGCTATTGTTCCCGGAATTGAACTATCTTTAAGGTTCAACTTTCAGCCAACTGGTAGATTGGCCTTGGCGAACAACTGACACCAGGGAGGTACTGCACCTTAGAACCGCCACTGGGCAGCATTTGTTCCGGGAGAAAGCTCAGGAGACCAGAAGTGATCGGGAAGGAAGATGAACGGAAACGGCGAAACCTGGGGATCGCCATCAATGCCATGGGGAAAATCAAATAAGGATGAGAATGCAAAGACATACAGGGAGGTTGGAAGAGTTACATTAGTAACTATTATTCACTTCCTTCACCCATCTGCTCTGGACCTTTAACAGAAGGTGCATGGAGGCTTTCTATTCCCGTCGAGCGACTGCATCAGAAGCCCACAGGGGCAGCTCTACCCTGCGCGGCGGGGTCGCTATGAATCGGAATCGACTCGATGGCAGTGAGTTTGGAGACAGATCTCAAGTCTCAGTTGTCGTCAACCTAGGCCCGGTTATGAACTACAACTCTAACGGCACCTCACGGGGCGGGAGAGGCGCTAAAAAGGAGGCTTCCAACGCAAGCGCACAGGGCACATTTGCAGGGTGTCGGGCGCCTTTACAAAGCAGACTGTTTCAACTCCACGCGGATCCTCGTGATGCTCCTCTGTGGGGGGGGAAGGCCGGCGCGGGGCCCAGGAGAGAAGATGAGCTGAGGGCCGAAGGCCGACTACTCTTCCACTTACCGCTTGCAGCAAAGCCCCCTGCTGCTGCCCCGCTCCGGGGCCCGACCCCGCCGCTCCCAACAGCAAGTCATGCCGCTGCCGCTTGACGGGGACCAGGGGTAACTCCGGCCCTTTGCGCTTCTGCTGTTCGATCATGGCGGCAGCCACTCCGCTCCGCACCGCCACCGACCGCGCCGGCACGTCCCGGGCCACGCGATTGGCTTCCGCTGAATCCTTCCCGGGAGCTTCCGGATTGGAGAAGCCAATCGGTTTGCGTCTGCCCTCGCTACGCTGCTCTCCGGCTTGTCTCCTGTTATTGGGCAACTCCTTCTGACGTCACGAGAGTGCGACTCCGGGATTGGCGGGCAGGGCTGGAGTCCCGCCCAGGCGCGCTGTGTCTTGTGGGTGGACGCGCGCCGACTAGGTTTGGTGCTTGCTTCGCTCAGTGCTGCGACGGGGCGCCCTGGAGCTAACCCCGGGTAAGTAAGTGTAAGGAATGGAACCGGCCACCCGAGTCTCCGGGTGTCACCCGTGTCATGGCGCCAGAGTTCGGCTCTTCTCAGCTGAAGATGCCGATTGCAAAGGGTGGGAAGCAGGCCCGCGTTTCATGCCCTGGATTCTCTTTCCCGGCGGGATCAGCCTGGATTTTCTGGCGGCGGATTCCAGACCCCGCGGCTGCCTCGGGGTGGGGGGTGGGGGGTCCTCTCTGGCTGACTTTGTAAACAAGACTGCTTGAGTCCAGCCCTGTTTAGGGCGCTCCCACGGGAGAAAAGGCCTCATTCCACCGCTATCAGACCTCAATGGAGGGGGCAAGATTTCGGCTACTGATGCTGCATCCTTTTGCTAGGGCCTAGTCGATGCCGCCCTACCCCCACCCCACCCCCCGAGAGGCAGGGCTGGAGAAAATGCTCACCTCCTGCATCTCGAGGATGCAGGATGGTTGAGAAATTGGAGACGCAGACCTGTAAAGTAGACCTGCTCTCAATCATCCAGCAGATATTGTGCAAAGCGTTGTGCGGACAGTAGGCCCCAAACGTGGCCCCTGGCCCCAGGGATTTTGAGCCTGTGGAGAAAAGTAAGAGGTACCTGAGGGCCTGGAGTATGCAGGAGGGCTTCTCTGAGGAGAAGGTGCCTGAGCTGATAACTGAAGGAAGAGGGGAAGGTGGGGCCTGTGGCAGGTGGGAACAAAATGTCTGACAGGCCCAAAGAGGCTGGAGTGGCTGTTGCAAAAAGAATAAAGCAGAGTTTGACGAGATGAAGGTGAAAGCAGTTAAAAGGTCAGACTTTGCAGAAATGATTTGCTTTCTTTTAGACTGATGGGTGGTCACTGAGGGTTTGGGGGTCCAGGGAAGTGGCTTGATCTCTCTGGCTTACTGGTGTGAACAGATAGGAGAGGAGCCCTAGGGGAGACGGATAGACCATGTAGGATGCTGAGCAGTAGTTCTTCAAGAGGTGGCGGCGGCACGGAGGACTGGGATATTCTAGATGTTTAGGAAGGAACATGGATAAACTTGGTGATGGATTGGATTCAGGGTGTAGAGAGAGGGGGATCAGGGATAACATGTAGGTATCTGGCTTGTACAGGTGAATAGATGTTACCATCATTGAGGTCAGGAACACCAAAAGACAAGTGCGGTTACTAAAGCTTAGGTGTTTGTTCATTGTTGTCGTTGCTTGTTTATTTTGTTCTTGGGTGGTGGTGGGATGTCATTCATGACATCTAGGAGGCAGTTTGAAATAATGACTTTGGAGCTCAGAGGATGTATTTGTGTTGGAAATAAAAACTTGGGAGTAATATATGGGGTTATTGAGTCACATCTGTAGGTAAAATCACAGCTAGGCCAGAACCTTGAATTCCAACATTTAATAACCCAAAAACAGGAGGATGGGCAGGAAACAGGAAAACAGAGAAGGAACAACTGAAGAGGAGAACCAGAGGGATTCCCCCCAAAGGGAATGGTCTCTGACAGAAATTCCTGGACTTTAGGATGAAGATGGGAAACTGTCAGCTTTATCATCCTCAGGCTCACACCTTAGTGAGAGTTATTTTGGGGGCTGATGAAACTAATGGGGCAAGGATTGAAACAATGAGATGGAGGCAGTGTTGTTCAGAGGTGTTTGTAAAAGGGGAGGAGAGGCCATGGTATGGAAAGGGGATTCAATTGAGAGGCTGATGGATAAATTGAATATCCAAGAGAAAATCTGGCCAGCAATGTAAAGTTTCTGAGAAGATGGGATCTGACTTACCGGTGGAGGGTGCAGCCTTCAGAAGATAGTTTCTTCATTTAACGCGTAGGAAGAAGGGATGAAGACTGTAGAACCAGCTTGTTTTGTATGCCTGGTCTTGGAAGATGAGTTCCTGCCTCCTGGCTTTTCTTTTCTCTGGAGTCAGAATTGGGATCATACACCTGCAGTGAGCCCAGAGATTTGAGAAGATTGCAGCAGATTTGAAAGTTACTGTAGGATATGAGAGAATACGTTTACCAAAGAAATGTACGATTTCAAGGCAGAATAAAGGACTTGTTTGAGATTGGTGATATAACTTTTTACTCAGCCATTTAGCTTTACCAGGCTGTTTAGTTGATGGCGTGCAGAAAACACATCCATGTTTGGGAATGACTGGGTTTGACTCACAACACAGTGCAACCTCTAAGGCCCCTTTTTTCTTACGGAAGAGGCTCGACGGCTAAAAATGACTTCCCGGACTCATTTTGCCGCTAAGCTGAGAATTGGATTTGGATCTGAGTTAAATGGGGAAGAAGCAGGTAGCAATAGCCATATATTTCTTGATCTTGGCAAGGGTGGTGTTATTTTGTAGGTTAGGACTTGTTCCTGGGAGTTTTGTTAGAGCTTACTTCTATCTGGTAGTAGTTTTGAAAGCCACGCAATACGGGGCAATGAATCCCTTTCTGCTTAACCTAGCTATAGTTAATGCTGTTGGCTGTAACTTTCCCATCAGGGCAAGGGTACTGTCAGACAGGTGAGCTGTCAAGAGAGTGAAGGGTATTGCTTGAATGATGGGCTGTGCAATCTAAGGGAGGAGGGCAAAGAAAAAGCGCTGATAGACGGGAAGAAAATAGAAGCCCTCTCTGTTGGAGATTCCTCCATATCCTTACTGGTCTACACAGTTGTCATTGCTTCACTACCCTACCCTGCTTGATGCTTATTTGTCATTACTTTGAACTACACTGCATAACTGATTTATATAACATCCTCACCAGCTGATGAGATTGTTGAGGATAAAGGATTGTGCAGAAAAGGGTGGCTTAGTGGCAAGTGTGTGGCCCTTGGAATGGGCTGTGATTGAACAGTTTTATTGACATATAATTCATTTACCATACAATTCATTGGCTTGAATATATTGAAGAGTGTGCAGTCATCACCACAGTCAATTTTAGAACATTTTCTTCATTTCTGTGTTCATGGGTATTAGCTCCCCATTTCTCCCCAGCCCTAGCCCTAACCCTAAACAACTATTATTCTAGTTGTCTATATAGATTTACCCATCCTGAAGTCTACATAGAGAAAAGCATATCCCCAAACCGCATAACAATAACAAAATAAAATACAGAAAAACCTCCATCCTAAAGAAAACAGGCAATAATAGAAACTAGAACGAATTAAAAATGAATTAACGGGAGAACACGTGATAAGGTATTAAAATTTAGCATAACTATATCTGCATTGATTCACGTTCTGATGCACGCCGTCTGAGGCCAAGGTTATTCACTCCCCTGGTCAGTGGTCTGAGGACATTCAGGGGGAGGTTTAATCCCTGTGCGGATTCTTTAGCTATGTGTTTTGGACAAGGTGCTTCATTCTTGTAAAATTGCCATTGAGTTGATGTCAACTCACAGCGACTGTGCAGGACAGGGTAGAACTGCCTCTAATGAGTGTCTGAGACTGACTGTCTGGGAGCAGAAAGGCTGCTCTGTCCTTCTCCCGAGGGAATGGTTAGTGGTTTCAGACTGCAGACCTGGCGGATTGCAGCCAAATATGTAACCACTAAACCACCAGCGCCCCTCGTAAAACAAGGGCAACTGTATGTAGGGTTGCTGTAAATCCAAATTGACTCTATGGCAAGGAATGAGTAATGCTTTAGAGTTGTTTCCAGGATTAAAATTAGGTTTGGAAAGTGCCTAGCACGTGGTCTGTTACGTAAGCATTCATAAATGTACTCTGGCCATGAATTAGCTAACAGTTTAAAAGAGGGTGTCCTGTAATACTGTAATGTTTTCAGTACCCAGTTGCAGTTTTCTGTGTGCATTATACTGTGCTAGGAGCCTTGATGGTGCAGTGGTACAAGTTGTGCTTGCTGCAGTTCGAATTCACCGGTTGCCTTGGGAGAAAGATGAGGCTTTCTGTTCCCATAAAGATTTACACCCTTGGAAACCCAATGGGTCAGCTCCACTCTGCCCTGTAGTTTCTCTGTGTAAGTCGAAAGCAACTCATTGTCATTGGGTTTTTGTTTGTTTTCATATTGTGCTAGGCAGTAGAGATTTGGGGAGGGAAGTTATGGCGATGTGTACGATACAGGCATGTGCACAAGTATTGCAAAATCAAGGAGAGGAAATCATGTTCACAAATAACGTTTCAGGATTTGTATCCCATCTCCATCATTCAGTTTTGTAATCTTTTTTTTTTT